GTACATGAGCTTTTTCCACATCCTCGGTCACTAGGTTGCCTCCCTCATTCAGTAAGTCACCTGCACAGAGCCTGTGATAGAGAGAGAGACTGATCGATAGATCAATAGATAGGTAGGTGGGTATGTATGCGGCTAGAGAGATAGATGGAGGATGTATATGGGTATAGATAGATGATAAGCACAGAGACCAAGACTTTCAAAAACAATTAGTGATTCTGGTCGCCCAATTGATGCCACTTTAAAGGGGCTGATTTCCAGCAGGTGGGGTCTCAGTACAGTCTGTCATCCCTTAAGCTATCTCACGTTGGGCTCCCAAAACCACTGGCCATTTTGGAAGGTGTGGCCAGAAGTGCTTGTGCCAATTATGCATGTGCCAAATCTGAGTGTGAGACAAGCTGTAGGGGTGCGAGGGGCTATGTCTCCATGGCCCAGTCTGTCCTTGGCCCTCGGTAGAGACTGCAATCAAGGGCGATCAGTGCGAGTTGTGATGGGGATTTTGTGATAAAGCTCCTCTAACACAACTATACTGCGCAGACGCTGAGTGGCCAGTCCAGTTCTCAGCTGCTCCAACATTCCCTGCAGGGTGAACATTGATAATTTCCTGCTGCGGCAATAGAGGCAGCTGTGTGAAAGCTGTGGGGACCCTGACATGTTCCCAAAGCAAATGGATTTGACCCAGCACCTACCCCGATAAACCACACAGCCCCTGATGCTATAGTAATTCATGGGAAGTTATCTGGTATCAGCTAAGGAGTGAATTTATACTGTCCAGTTACACCAGTGTAAGTCCCTGTACACACCCAGGTTGTGGTATAAGACAGACATTTTCTGGTTTACTTTATCTTGTTTTGGAAGCAATATTAAGGTGTAAATTTTTGACAGTGAGGATAATTAACCACTGGAAAAACCATGGGCTGTAGCAGATTCTCCATCACTGGCCATTTATAAATCAAAGGTGGATTTTTTTTGTCAAAGAGATGCTCCAGTTAAACAGGAATGAGTCTGGGGCAGTTCTCTGGCCTGTGTTATACAGGAGGTCAGACTAGATGATCACAGTGGTCCCTTCTGGCCTGAGAATCTATGAATGAACCTGACAAAGGCTCGTATTCCACAATAAGTGTGTCCCCGTGGGAGTTCTACCAACAAAGCTAGAGCCATTTAATTATACTGGTAAATTTCCCTGTCTATAGAGAAGCCATGAGATGAAACAGCTTTTCCCATCAATGCTCTGCCTGTCCTTGTACACCCCGTGGCATTACAGTATCTGAACCTCTCACAAGCATTAATGGGGTTTGTCCTCACACATTCCTGAGAGGTAGGGAAGTTCATCCTCATGTCACTCATGGGAAAACTGAGGCACAGAGAGAGACTAAGTGACTGAGCACAGGGCACACAGTAGACCACAGACGAGTCAGGGGTTGAACCAAAGACTTGTGATCCCCAGTCCACTGCCCTAGCAACTAGATCATCCTTCCTCACTTCAGCCCCCAGCCCTCCCTAAGCCTGGGTTACTATGACCAGCCTTGTACCTGCCTGGAAGGCCAATGACCCTGGGCTATTTCCAGGAGCGCCGCCAGCTTTTTTGCCACAATAGGCAGTGGAAGGTCCCACCCCCGAAATACCACCAACGACCGTGGCGGCCGAAGATCCGGCTGCCACGGTTGCCGCCCCCGAAATGTTAGCGCCCTAGGTGACCGCCTAGGTCGCCTAATGGGTTGCGCCGGCCCTGTCTATTTCAGCCAAAGTGGGAAAGAGCCTGGATGGGACGGGACTGAGAAACAGGGAAAAAATCAGATACACAAACTGGGAACTCTGCCACAGGGGATTTAATTGATCCCACAGAGTGTCCCACCCCCCATTGCTTATGGGCTAGATCCTGCCTCCCTTCCCCAGGCCCAAAACCCAGGGCAGGCAGGGCAGAATTGGACCCGTCTCCCACACCCTGCTGGGGATATTGATGGAGACAGATGCAGCAGGACTAGAAAGCTATCGTCTGGTGCTCAGAAGAGGGAAGGGAGAGGAGAGTTGGTTCCATGAGTAGCGGCTCCTGCTCAGTGACTCTCTGCACACACAGTCCAGCTGCTCAACCGTGTAGGGTGGGAACCACAGATGGACCAACAGCGCCTTGAGCATCTGAAGAGTCCCCTGTGCAAACACCTCTTCCCTCGCCCAGCAGTGAGCTCTTCCCGGCCTGACCCTGAGCTAGCAGCCCAGCGGGGCGAGGGTGTATCAAATGCTGTGATGTGGGGTTGAAGAATCCACTCACAGTGTTATTTTTGTCCTCACATGTTAACCTGCCCCCCCCCCTCCATTTAGTCTGTTCTCATGAGGTTTCCAGGGCAGTTTATTTTCAGAGTCGTACATTTAAAGGCCAGAAGGGACCAATGTAACCATCTAGTCAGAGCGTCTGCACAGCCCAGGCCAGAGAGCCTCCCGCAGGGATCTCTGCATTGAGCTGCTAACTTCTGGCTGAGCTAGAGCATGTCTGGTGGAAAGAGACGTCCCCTCTCGGTTTAGTGGCTCCCATTTCTAAACACTACAGAGATACAGGCTCATGTGGGACTTAGACAAAAATAGGGAGACAGGGCATGTGCAGACTGCAAAAAAAGTTAATGTGTTGGTTGCAGTGTTTGAATCTCAGAAATTTGTCTCTTTCATCAACAGATGTTGTTCCAGTACAAGATATTGCCTCGCCCTGGTTAATGTTTGACAGGTGCCCTGGTGCTTTCACTTTCCCCTGCTCAGAGTTCACACACAGCTCCGGGATCCATTTCCCCCTCTGCCCCAACACGACAGTTCAGTTCCGTGGGCGTTTCGTGTGGGGCTGGGACCCCCGGCTCGCTGCATGGCATCACCTGGGACATGCTGAATCCTTAAGGTAGGTCCCTCCCTGTTATTACCCCCTTTCCTTCACTCATAGGGGTGCTCACGCTCCTGCCCCTGGGAGCATGTTCCCCTGCCATGGCCTGTTCCCTCCTCCCATCAGTGTTGGGCAAACCCCGATGATGGGTGTGATTCACTGCTCAGCCTGTTATCCCCTCACTGCAGGGTGTGGCCAGCTGGGGTTCCTTGTGGCCTTTCCCCAGAGGGTGTGATGGGGCGCACGGGTGATTTGGTGCCTCTTCAAAAAGGCCGCACAGCCCTGCCCTGCTGATGCCCCTAGGAGGAGGGGCTGCCAGGCCAGAAGTGTGTGTGTGGGGGGAGGGGAGCAGTCATTTGGCTCAGAGATCTAAATGGAAGGTGCCTCCCTGGCTATTATTATTATGTCTATTACAGTAGTACCTAGTGCCCCAGCTGAGATTGGCGCCTCCATTGTGCTGGGTGCTGCCCAGATCACAACTGAAGTCAGAGCCTCACTGTGCTGAGTGCTGCACATACAGACTGTGAGAGACCGTCCCTGCCTCAAAGAGCCTCAGTCTGACAATCAGGTGTAGCTGAGCCTAGCTGGGCTCAGACCCTTTCAAGCCTCGTCTCGATGGGACATTACGTTGGGTTAGAACATGTGTTAACCCAGCACAGGATGCTCACCGCACAGGCCTGGTCTGTGCTGGAGGGATGTGTGGTATTAGATAACGTATTAACTGTCAGACCTAATAGTTCATCAAGTCATCAGCTCACACTCTGCCAACAATAGCAACCTTGAATGTCGGCCTGTCCCCTCGAGCACCTCTGCGCTTTCTTCCACGCTGCCGCCATGCACGGGAACAGCTCCCTGCCAATGTTCACAAAGCCACCACCTTCCCTTCCTCAAAATCCCCCCTAGGAGCTACCTCTGCCATGGGGCCTATTGAGCGCTGCCGCCTGGCGCTGGCTAGGCTAGTGGCCAGCTGGGACTCTGCTTCCCTGCTACGCTCCCTCTTCTGTCTTATCTCGTCCTCCCAACCCAGCACCACCGAGGGGTTTGTTTGTTCACCCACTGGCTGAGTCCTGTCTGACATTTACATGGTGAGCTCACTGGGGCAGGGCCTGTTGTTTCTATGTGTCTGTGCAGCACCTGGCACAGTGGGGCCCTGACTGGGGTTCCTCATCAATACCGTAATGCAAATCATACACAACAGCAATAACTAGCCTGGTGTGATGAGCACTGTGCTGAACACGGTTTTGCTCCTGGTGTGGAAAAGGACGGCTGTGGTCAGCATTGTGTCAGCTGGCCATGGTGACCCCTGGGAGTCACTCTAGTGTTGTTATTGTGGTGGCTGGCACCTGGGGCCCAGTCCTGGAGCAAGGAGCCCAGTGTGGTGGACGCTGCACAGACACAGAACAGAGACAGTCTCTGCCCCAAAGAGCTCACAGACCAAGGGAAAGACTCTAGGGTTATCCACAACCAGCTGACACCATGTTACACACGACATGTTGTGTCTTCACTGAGGCTGAATTCCTAGCTGGAAACTAGAGCTGGTCAAGAATGTTTCATGAAAAATGTTTGTAATGAAAAATGGCTTTCAAAACTATATGAACATTTTCACCAAATTAAATTTTATTTAATTTGAAAATTATTAAAATATTTCACAACAAAAAATGTTCATTTCTATTCCAGTATAGTGGAATCAAATTTTTTTTTTTTTACTTTTAAGGAGGCCAAAACTAAGAAGTGAACTTGAAAAAATTTAATTCTGAATCCATTTGATTTTAATTGAATTTCCAATCTATTTGAAACCATTATTGCTTTGTTTTGAGTCATTTTGTCAGAATATTGGACGATTTCAGGAAAACTTTTGAATGAAAAGAAAATTTTCCTCAAAAAAAAAAAAAATCCCCATTTTCACCACCCTCCCAGAATGCTCAGCCCTGCCGGGCCTCGGCTCTGTGGCTCTCCTAGAGCCCCGTTTTGCACAAGGGCAAACAGGTAATAAAATGGCCTAGAAACCTATGCTCACCTTTTGCTCTGGGGCGGGGCCAGAGATACAAGGATGACAGAGAGCACTTGGACCGGGGCCAGACTCCAATTCCTCCTTCCTGGGCCAGCAGGTGCTGGGAGCTCTGCAGAGGTTGGGGCTGGATTCAGGCAATGCAGGACATTAGGTTCTCCCTGACATGGAGCCCCCGTACACCTGCACCCTGCTCAATGGACTGACAGTGGCTGGATCCCACCTTCCCCTCCTAGAAAGGCCAGCACATGGGCTCCCTCTGCCCCCAGAAGGCTTAGGGCATTCCCTCCCTCACCTCCACTACTTCCCTTAGCCATGGGGTGTCAGTTCTGCAAGATACATTTCTGCAAGATTATAATTTATTGAGGTTTGCTCATAAGGGACAGTATTATGAATATAGCATTTTGAGCTGTGCCTGGTAGCAAGATGGAGAACACTGTGAAGCTGTGCACAGCAGTTCACCACAGACACACTCTAGTTTCTTTTTAATTAAAGTTTATTCCTTTCTCATTCACTGGGTTGTTGTTTAATGAACCCCAAGATCATTCCATGGTGTCAGAAGTGCCGAGTGACAAAGAGACTGCAGAAGTCATTTTGAGGTTAACTCCTGCGTTTGAAACTGAAAGTAGAAGCAAGGGGACTGGTGGTACAGCAAACAGAGAAGAAACAAAAGCTTTTCTTTGCGTTTTATGAGCACGGTACTAGTTTAACTACCTGAAGAATGGAAGAAAGCCAAATGGTTGTTTTGCAAACTCAATCCAGTCTGCAACTGTCAGGCAATGTAGTAGAGAACTGGAAGAAATTCCAACAGAGATTTGAATTGTATTTAGCAGCCATAGGGGCAGAGGAGAAAAATGATAAAGTGAAATCATCAGTGTTTTTGCATGTCATTGGGGAGGAAGCATTGGATATTTATAACAAGTTTGAAGAAGGTGAAAGCATGAAGTTAAGTAAAATTCTGACTACACCTGAGGAACATTGCATGCCAAAAAGAAATTAAACCTTTGAAAGGCACACATTTTTTACATGTATGCAAAAAAACTGATGACACCATAGAGCAATATGTTAGAGAATTAAGGAAACTCAATAAAATCTGTGACTTGGGTGATTTGAGAGACTCTCTGGTCAGAGTTAGACTCAGTTGTGTCATTAAAGACAATGTGTTAAGAGAGAGACTGCTCCGTGACGGAGATTTAACTTTAGAAAAAGCTCTTCAGATCTGCAGGGCAGCAGAAACTGTGCAAGCACAAGTCAAAGAGCTGAATTCAGCAGAGGGGCTTATCCACATATGAAGTACAAAAGAATATAGCCTGGGAAGCTCAAATCAAGAAGTGGAACCAGTCTCTATGAAAACCATTGGTAGTGGTGGACTGGATACAGACAGTTATGTGGATAGTCATCTGACTTGGATGGTATAGACACAACAAATCCTGTATCTTGCACTTGCAGTCCCTTCTAATCTTATGATTCTATGTGGAAGGTGTGGATTACAGCATGGCCCCAAACAGTGTTTTGTGTTTGGAAAACTCTGTCATAAATGTGGGGAAAATAATCATTTTGCAAAATGCTGCAGATCCCAAATGTAGAAAAGTCAAGTGCATTCAGTTGAAGACAACCTGGTTTTACATAGACGTGCTGGGATTAAGCAAACTTGATGAGAGGGGCTGGATACTGCCTATGAAAGTGAATGAAACAATTATTCCACTGAAATTGGATACAGAAGCTCAGGTTAATATTCTGTCTGAACAATATGGTGAGAGACTGAAAATAAGACCAAAACTGGGACCAACAAAAATAAAAGTAACTAGTTATTCTGGAACAAATATATCAGTGATGGGGAGGTGCATTGCTAGCATTAACTATAAAAAACACCACATACACGCTCCTGTTCATTGTGGTGCAAAAGGAGGTGACACCAATTTTAGGCCTGGCCACCTGTGAAAAACTCAATCTAGTAAAATGGATGCTCTCACTACAAGATCATACTGAATGTGGCTACGAGGCACTCATTTGGGAATATCTTGATCTGTTCGAAGGGTTGGGTAGGGTTACCATATTTAAAAAATAAAAAAAGAGGACACTCCACGGGGCCCTGGCCCCACCCCTTTCCCAAACCCAGCCCTGCCCCAACTCTGCCTCTTCCCCACCCCAACTCTGCCCATTTCCCGCCCCTTCCCCAGAGTCCCCACCCTAACTCCCCCTCCTCCCTCCCAGCCATGCGAAAAGGGCTGCCCAAGCTCTCCCGGCTTCACGGTTTGCCGGGCAGCCCCCATGCCTCCGGACCCTGTGGCCCCGGCCGGGCACTTCCCCTCCTGGGCTCCAGCTGCTCTGCTCCTCCCCTGACTCTTTGTCTCTGTTTAAGAGCCAAGCTGCCCGAGTAGCGCTCGGGCTTCGGGCAGCCCCCATGCCTCCGGACCCTGTGGCCCCGGCCGGGCACTTCCCCTCCTGGGCTCCAGCTGCTCTGCTCCTCCCCTGACTCTTTGGCTCTGTTTAAGAGCCAAGCTGCCCGAGCGCTACCGGCTTTAGGCAGCCCCCTTGCCTCTGGACGCTGCGCTGCCGGAGCAGAGCAGCTGGAGCCCGGGAGGGGAAGTGCCCGGCCGGTATTTTCCCGGACATGTTTGGCTTTTTGGCAATTCCCCCTGGACGGGGGTTTGACTACCAAAAAGCCGGACATGTCTGGGAAAAAATGGACGTATGGTAACCCTAAGGTTGGGTTGCTTTCAGGATGAACATACAATCCAGATAAACAAGCAGGTCCCTCCAGTTATCCATCCTTATAAAAAGGTGCCATTTTTACTCTGTGATCAACTCAAGGCTGAGCTCACAAGGATGGAAGTAATGCAAGTAATACAAAAAACCAAAGAGCCAATGGAATGGGTGAGCTCCCTAATTATTGTGGAGAAAAATAACGGCCAGCTACATATATACTTAGATCTGAGAGATTTCAACAAGGCTATAAAAAGAGAACATTTCAAACTGCCAACCAGGGAAGAGATTATAGCTCATACAA